TTTTTTAATCACGGAAAATATACTGTACTGCATATACAGTATCGCGTAAACAGTCTTTTTTCTGTATCTCCTTTCCTGCGTGTATATTTACATTTCAGTAAATATAGGCCTACCAAAAAATACTGTGTGTACAGGAGAGTGGTAAAAATTTTCTATAATTCTTCAGGTGTTTTATTTGAATACCTACAGTATTAACTTGATGCTATTTTCTTTTTTTGTGGGGATCAAATCCAGTTTATCGATGTTCCGGATTTTGCACTGTATAATATTGTATATTATTGATGTACTGTATAATATCTTAATTAAATTTTCTGAATGCATGTTCTTGATTCATTTGCAGAGGGTGGACTCGTATTATTATTGAGAAACCATTTGGGAGAGATGCCGCGACCTCGAAACAACTCTCAGATCATCTAGCTGGACTTTTCAAAGAAGAACAGATGTACCGTATTGACCATTACTTAGGGAAGGAAATGGTTCAGAATTTAATGGCTCTAAGGTGAGTATTTCTGCTCAACTAGAGAGGTTTCGTGTAATAGTTTTAAATAAAATAAGATCAGGTTTCATTAGCGATTATTTTTTTATTAACTCTCGTAAATTTAGAAGGATTAACTTTGCCATTAGTTAGTTATGGATATTTATTATCATGGACAGTGGAATTTAGAGTTTTAGGAGGACATATGTATTTAACTTTTATTTCAAATATAATTTGAATGTAATCAACACTCATATTAAAGTTAGAACAAAGAAGTGAAAAAATTAGTATTTGTATTCTGACATGTGTCCGGCTTGAATCAAAAGCCATATTAGTACCTGTTTAAATGAGAAGTGACGGAATTTGATATTAATGGAAGAAGAGATCCATTTTAGGATTTCTATCTATAGTATCTGTTTTACATACCACTCCAAGTGTTTCTGGAACTAGTTATTAGCCAATTTTCAGAACTGTTTAGGCAAATTGACTCAAAGGACCCATGATGTTTGGTTAATCCTCTCAAACGTTCAATTATCTGCATTGGAGAAAAACTCTGCACAAAACTACACTATATTCATAAAATGGAAAATAATACTGATGCTTACATTGATGCTTACACATTCAGTCTGCGTAGGGTGGGCAATTTTCATCGGATCACAAACAAACTAGCCCATAATAGAATAAAATCAAAGAAGTGGAATATTTGTTGTCCCTCAACATTCGCTAGATTTGGGTTCCCAAAATGCATCACCAATGCCAAATCCGCGAATATTGAGTCTATTTTTTAATGAAGAAAGGTGGGTTATGTTCTTGGTTATCCTGGTTATTAATGTGAATTGACATTCCAACTACGACATTTTTGCAGTACGTGGTACTTTGAGTCCCAGTGCCTACCGAAATCGGTTCTTAGTTGACGCTGATAAAGGAAATGGAAATGCGCTCTTTTTCAAACAAAAATGTAGTACGACGAAAAGACGCACTCGCGAATGCTAAAACCTGCAGCATTTCTCGACTCGCGAATAGCGAATTCGTGGTATTCGATGGATTACTGTATTATAGACTACAGCTACGTAGCTACGTAGTATAAACTTCTTGTTGTTGTCAACGGTTTTTCAAAGTTTACCTGGAATTTTCTTTCTAAAGCGATAAATATGAAATAAGTTCTGAGCAAACTGATGCTAGTGCAACAGACATTTGGTAATAATGCATGCATAATTAATGTCAGAGAAATACTTTTTACTTCTTCAGCATATCAAGATTGTTGTACTCAGTAGACTATTGAGCACGTTTTCCTTCTCCTTAGAGAGAATCGAACATACGAACAGAACACAATCCCGAAGTTGAAACTGTCGATGGATAACCTGGATCATTGCTATTGAAATTCTAAATTACATACTTCAGCGAAGTATTGGGATAACTTCTTTTAAAGCCGATTTTGGTGACAAGATGTGTCGACAAGGAGATTTAAATATCTTGCAATTGTTAGAGCGAGAAACAGCTCAAATTTACTGTGAAGAAATAAGTCAATCCGTAGAATAGTCAGAGAATATGTTACGGATTCAAGGAGAAATAGGAAGGTCGTGTAAGCCACTTTCTATAAAAAAAAAGTTTTAGTTGCGATAAATCGCACTCGGCTTGATCCAGATTAAGAAACAATATTTAGTGCTCTACAGATTTCTCGAATGAAGTTTAATATCCGCAAAGACAGATTGCTTAAAGAATTGTCGAACTTACGATAAATTCAAAAGATTGACTTTTGTTTTATTATTTTGATTTAGTGTAGATGATGTATTGATGATTTGATGTATTGAGTGTGGCCGGCACTGTATTGCATGAACATAGGGTCAAGGACAAGTGAAGTGTGTAACATAGTCCGATCGTTGCAGTTCTTGTAAAGGCATGAATGAAGGTAGTCGGTTATTGTGAGACACTGTTCGTCACTTTATATATTTGTCATACTTATCATACTTATGTATAGTATAAGTTTACTTTATCTCTTCATTACGCGCGTGTTTTACACCACTATGTTGTAATAGCAATATTCAATATTACACGTATGTAATTAAAATAAAGTTATTTATTGTCCTAGGTTTGGAAACCGTATATTTGGTCCCACGTGGAACAGAGAATGTGTGGCATCAGTTCTTATATCTTTCAAAGAGCCATTTGGAACACAAGGTCGCGGTGGCTACTTTGATGAATTTGGCATAATTCGTGATGTAATGCAGAATCATTTACTTCAGATTTTAAGTTTAGTTGCCATGGAGAAACCAGCTTCTGTTCATCCAGATGATATTCGAAATGAAAAGGTGAGCGTATGTCAAAAGAATTATTGACTCAATGTAATTATTGGAATTGTTAAGTAATTCACACATCCAATCACACCACATTCATTTGTTAATCGTTTTGCGTCCAATCGGCAAGTTGTGTACTGCTATCTTTTGCCTTGTGCTTTGCACCAACACATGATAAATTAGTTTTCAAAATATCTCTCCAAAGTGACTGCATTCCCAGTCCACTTAGTTCGTTCATCTAGTTGAGATCCGCCAAACTATTATTGACGGCTTCGTGACCCTTAAATTACTTGGACCACTTTCATTATCCCACTCCCATTTCCGCTCATGGAACGGCCTTCTGCGACGCAATGAAACCTGTATTTTGGTCGCATGTCGAGGAACTTTCGCTATGTTCTCAAGAACAAACTGAAAGAGATTGTTCTGAAAATCCTCCAAACGAAACCCACAAAAAGGGAGAAAGTCTCCGGTGGCTAGAGACAATAATCCTCTGACGTACAATCCTCTGACGTAATTAGTAACATGAAAACAAGACACCTTCACGACCTGGAATTGAGAAATTGTTGAGAAAGTCATTCAAGACACTAGACAACGTCGCTCTGAAGGCTGTCTACAAATATTTTGTGCTTCCTATACTGGAATACAGAAGTCCGGTATGAAACCTGTACCTAATAAAGAACATTGGCTTTCTGGAGAGGACATTGAGAAAGGCCACATGTATCTCAGTTGGCCTGAGAAACCTCCCCTATCAACGCAGACCCTAAGTCTTACAAATGCAGCGACTCGACAGACTCAGTACTCAACAGAGAGCAGATGTAACTGAAACGTTTAAAATCATGAAATGCCTTTATAATGGTGCTAAACTACCACGTTTTCCTAAGTCCTAACAATACACGAGTAAAGAGAGAAAAAGTATGTAAAACTAACTTCAAAACGCTCCAGCGTAAGAAATTTAAACAATCCACGCTGCCGTCCCTCCCCCCCCCCCATGATCGGCTGGATCCGCCCCTATGTTAAGGTCTCTTGAATTTTAACAAACCTCAAATGGAATATCCGTATAACTGAATTAAACAGCAAATTAAGGTAATAATGTTACGCATACAAAATTCTTTCAAACTGTCAGATTTCTTGCAGCTCGTTGCATGTAGGTACTGTGCAAATTTACATTTCCGTCGCTTCTCCTGGCAATGTGGACATGCATTTCAGAACCGAACCATGCCACAGCAATTATGCTTATTACTATTTATGCAGATTGTCGTGAGTTAAGTTATGCGCATATTTGTCTTGAATGAGACTTGTGATCACTGCTGGATATGGAGTCACACTCTACTAGCACTTAACACCTCTCTCTTATTAGTTTGTTTGATGATATTTTTTTTCTTTTGAAATTCTCCTTAGCTGTTTCTTATTTTCAGTGCAACTTGTGGCTGCACGTTATGCTATTGCTCATGGGTTTCTCTGGAGTGTAAAATGGGGCGGGGGGGGGGAGTGCGTCATTCCGCGGAATTTTGATTAAAGTCACGTGATATTTTATTTATGTTTTTAATGTAATACTGTACACACGGTACATTAAAAAAGGTCCAGTTATGTCGCAGCTATTCATGATACACTTCGACAGTTAACGTAGAAAACGGCGCCTGCTACGTACGGCGGTTAGAGCAGATGTGGGAAGCTCTGATGGGGACATGCCACATTCGCCAATTCCGAAGCGGCACAATATTTCCTGCCAAATACTTTTTCCTTTTTTACTAATGAGGTACGACAAAACATTTTGGTTCGTCAATCACCCAAGGTCTCTCGATCAGGCTATTGATCTCAAGCACTTTTTTTTGGGGGGGGGGGTCCAATTTAACTTGATCCATTGAGCAAATTCTAAGATGGTTTCTTGTTTTCCTTGTAGATACAAATGTAGCTTCACTTTATGTGCCCTATTTCTTATGCTCAGTTGGAGTGTTATTGCTGTATCAGTTACTCAAATAATTATTTTGTATGTTCTCACTGCAATAAGTAGTCTCCTTCATGAGGCACTTGATAAGGAAGGACTCCAAATTTGTAGGTCATTTTCTGTTGCGAATAGTTCATATTGCACAGGTGCGAATACCTTCTTTCTTATTACCAAATTTTATCAAAAGTGCTCATTGCTACCTCTTTTCATAATTCAACTTAATGTAGTGGGAGAGCTAGGGTAGGGATTCCAGAAATCAAGAAAACACACAGATTGCACTTCTCCCCCCCCCCTAGTACATCACATACAGTTTTATCTGTTTTTATGTTAAATAAATAAATAAATAAAAATAAAAAATGAAAATAAATAAAAATAAAAAATGAAAATAAATAAAAATAAAAAATGAAAATAAATAAAAATAAATATATAAAAAATAAAAATAAATTTAAAAAAATCATCATGTCATTGTTTCTTAGCTAGAATGTTATATTTTGAATAAATAGCGTTGTATTGCTATACTGAAAGGCTTTTTATTAAATTTTTAAGAAATGGATAAATACATTGCATTATAAAATTGTTAGTGTTGTTATGGACATAATTGCCATATCTTTCAAAGTTCATTGGATTAATAGATGCACTAAAATACTGAATTGTGAAAATGTGTTTCATATTATTAATTTGTATTATATGAATTATAAAGATTTTGTGCATACTGCATTCTCTATTAAAACATTCTGGTACTCAACATAATTTCTTTCTGTTGAATAATATTAGAAAGTACCAATTAAATGTAAGAGACATTGCTCCAATGTACTTACTGTGAAAATAATGTACTTCCAATTTTGTAGGTTAAAGTTTTGCGTTTCATTTCTGAACTGCGTCTCGAAGATGTGGTGCTAGGACAGTATGTTGGCGACCCTGATGGTGAAGGTGATGCTAAGTTGGGCTACCTGGATGATCCCACAGTTCCACGTGGTTCAACTACTCCAACTTTTGCTGTAGCAGTTTTGAAAATTAATAATGAACGATGGGATGGAGTTCCTTTCATATTACGTTGTGGAAAAGGTAAGCATATATTTGTGTGTATTCATGCTGATGAAAAAGGAAAGTAGTTTTGTAAACATGAAATATTGACATCTTTCACTATCACTAGCTCTGAATGAAAGGAAAGCAGAAGTCCGCATCCAATTTCAAGATGTCCCTGGAGATATTTTCAGTGGCAAAGCCAAGAGGAATGAACTCGTAATAAGAGTTCAGCCAGGAGAAGCTGTTTACCTTAAGATGATGAACAAGTCTCCAGGCATGACTTTTGATCTAGAAGAAACAGAATTGGACTTGACATATGGAAGCAGATACAAGGTAGTGATATAAATCTAATGTAATATCTAGTTAATGATCTACAATACATTAAGAAATATTACAAAAATCTCTTTAATGTTAATTTTGTAGGAAGTGAAAATGCCTGATGCATATGAGAGACTTCTACTGGATGTGTTTTGTGGATCACAAATGCATTTTGTTCGTTCTGATGAACTCTCAGAAGCTTGGAGAATTTTTACTCCATTACTTCATGAAATTGAACACAAGAAAGTGGAACCTATAAAGTACAAGTAAGGATTTTTCTTAAATGTAGGCTATATAGCACTTCTCATGTTAAATATTATATCATTTAATATTTTCAATATGACTCCCAGTGGTGGTCCCTTGGGGTAAGCAAGGTAGGCAGTGCCTATGTGGATGAATATTTAATTTAACTAGTTTAATATATTTCACACATAATGAATTTTAAATGGCTGATATTTTGTGTAATTATTTTTCATCAAACAATAGAATGAATTTTTAATACATGCTTATTCTCAGTTCAGGCATTTCATAAGCCTGTGCCATTGATCGATTTCATTTCCACTCTTCCTGCATAATCCCAAGCTCTCTGGATAGATGTTTTCAGAGATTACTTCACTGTGCTAGTCTGAGAAATGTCCCTGAAATGAGCATAGAACACACTTTATTCACACTAGACACATGTGCAGTACATGCCCATGCAGGTGAATTGCGATTGCCTAACTGCATGGAAGATGACAATTTTCAGACATGTTTGCATCTTCCATAATTGTCAAATTAAGTGTTATTTATTCTCAGTATATGTATTACTTTACTTGATATTTTTATATTTAAATCCGTTTTTAGAGTGGGTGAACTACTATGTACTCGGTTTTTTCAACTTAATGATACAAATTAATCAACATTTTTGACAATTAGTGACCTATTACTACATTGAATGCAGTTGTTCTTTGTCCTGTTAAGAAAAATGTAAAAATGTCATTGTGTAATAGGGTATAGAATGTCTCAGAAACTGTTTGAGGAGAGCTCCAATTACAGTTCACACTATTGCTTAAATTTCATAAAGAAAAATGATACTTTTTTGGAATATAAAGTTGTTCTTGAAATTGCATCAGCTCAGACTTAATGGGAATACTCGTTGGAAATGTGAAATAATCAGTATGTAACAATTTGAGATCTTGGTTTGACAAGGTTGTAACTTCAAACATTAATGTTCATTCTGGAGTCCGGGTGGGAATTTGCATTGTACTGCATTTGAATATGTATGTGGGTCTCTTGATCATAATGCATTTTGAAGGGTCTTTTATAAGGATCTCGCATAAATGCAAGGAACGACAGAAGTATTTTTATGTGAGAGACTGTAGCATGGATGAGGGTGGAGAGAACAGGAGCTGCGAATCAGTAGGGAAGTGGTAGAGATCGGAGAAACTTCACATCACTAAGCTTATGGAAGAAAAGCTAGGCCTACCAGGCTGCAGAGAAGGGCTGAACAAAAATGGATATGCAAAGGGGCGGTAAGAAAGACAGCAGTCTGCATTGAATTGGCCAGTGAGGCTGCATTAACAGGCGAGGCCTTGTGACAACATATGGTGAGATAGGAAGATGTGAGAACCTCATTTTATGTGCAATACTGAATAAACTTGTCGCGTATAAATTATATATTGTAGAGTATTTCAAGAGGAACATTAGACAGAGAGGTTTGTACTTTTAAAATTTCAATTGCTACTCTACAATACAAAATATCTTTTATTGATTGAATTTGAAATTTCATTTTATAATCATGTTTCTTTTTTTAATGAATATTTTTCAACATAGTTTCATAAACCTTCGTAAATGTCATATAAAAGTAGGGTTTTGTATCAACTTTGAAAAGTCACTTTTCAATTGTAGAAACTGAGAAAGCAAAAATTCATTTAGAACTTTGTCACTTTAAATTTAACTTTTCAGGAGAGTTACAAAGGTGTGAAGGTGTACATGGAACTTTGTGAAACTAACTTTTTAACCATTACTTTTTTAAATGTGTTGGTTATATCTTCAAATTATAGGGTACAATAAATAAGAAATCCAGCCATGAAAGCCTCTATTGTTTTAAGAATTATTTTCTCTACATTCTTTACGTTACTGACTAGTATTTTTGTTTTGGGGTACATAATTCACCTCTTGTATGGTGGAGTGACCTGGCAAAAAATATTTCATCGTGACAAATGATATACTTCTGTTGTTCTTTAAGAAATGCATGATGGAATTGGACATAATTTAGTTCCAATTTTGAAGCCCGCATGAATCCAACAGTTAGTGTCAACCGTTAACTCTAACAATGCCAAGTTACAAATGTTTGCAAACCTTACCTAGGGAGAAGGGGTTCTAAAAGCCCATCACGTTCATTTTTATTTTAGTTATGTTTTTGTAGATTTTGATAAATTAATAAATTGATATAATTAAGAGTATTTATGTGTATTCATATAAACAAAAAACTTTATTAAATTTCTGGGTCAGTAAATGTATACTCAGGAATAGAATCTTTTCTTCATTCAAGAAAATTTAATTTCTTATGACCCAAGTTTTTTCTCTTCTCATCTTCTTCCATCTCAAACTTAAGTTATTTTATCAACACGAGATGCATGTTTCTGTCAGTCTGCAGTAACAGAAAATAATAAAATATACTCTGTTTATACTAAATTTTAAATAACACACAATATTACGTAATATGATAAATATGTCTCATAATTAAGATAACTCAAGAAGTAAACAAATTCTGGAATGTAGTACGTGGCAACAGTGAGATAATTATGATGCTTATGGATTTTTATTTATGTTTTTAACTTGTTAATTTCTTTTAGATACCCTGTAGTTAAGCTATAGTTCAATTTATTACTGAATATTTAAACTATTTACTTATCATTCATCTGCAATATATTTGTCACTACTGGAGGTCTTGGTACAAGTGAATTAGTGTTTGAGAAAATATCTTACTGGGAAGTGATTTCACTCGCAAATTATTAGATTCACTCTTTTAAATTGAACACGAACTCAATTCATTGAGTGTCACAATACTGAATAGATAACTGAGATTATTGTCCTGTGAAAACACCATTACAGAAAACAAGAAATATAAGTAAACTGTGATTAGCAGTTACAACCTTGTCAAATAAAATAAAATGGAGTAATTGAGTTATCCCCCTTTAATCTAGTCATTGTCAGTTGTAGTGATTCATTGCCTTTTATCTCTTCGGCCAGGGGCTCTGTGCTAGTGGATCCCAGGGTCCCAGACGGGCACTTGACCAGGAACATTTGTAATCTCTAATTACTTAACTTTCATGACTTCACAGGGAGCAGTTAAGGAATTCAGTGAGTGATGCTTGCTTGAGCATTTATTTGCGTTGCAGATTGAACTATGATAGTTTTGTTTATCAACTTGTTTATCATCTTTGTTTATCAACTTGTAGCAGAAATTACTTGTTCTCTGTAAAGAATTGAGTGAAAGGAATGCTATGAACACGAATTCTCCATTTTACTAATTTTGAGTTAGAACCTTGTCAAACTAAGCTCTCAAATTGTTTTTAAAAAAATTGAGTAAAACTTCCAAAAAAATTGAACTCTGAGAAGGCATACACTCCCCCTCCTCCCATCCCAATTTGCTAACTTTCTATAATCTCTCTTTTTCCTACCTTGAACAGTTGTTTGTGATCTACCTCTGCATTCAGTAGGTTGCTAAGAAATTTGTTTTTGAGCTATCTTGATAATTGCAATGTGTTGAAACGTTATTTGAAGAAGATAAAATATCAGAATTCAACAATATCTTTTACTCTGTACCAAACTTTTCCTGCTGTCTTACATGTTCAACCTAGTATAAAAAACTAAATTATGGTGATCATGTTTCTGGAACTGGAATTTCTTACAGGAATTAAATGATTTTTAGCCCTATTAATAATATGACCCTAACATTCTTCTACTGATGTTACAGATATGGTTCTAGAGGTCCAAAGCAAGCTGATGAATTGTGCAACCAGAATAATTTCAAGTATTACGGCTCATACAAGTGGGTCCAACCCAAAAATTCACTGTGATAAATTTGCAGCTTCGTCCAGCATTATACAATCGCTGAAATCATTCCACATACTGAGAGAGACTGTTTTAAAACTGTTTTCTACTACAAAAAATTTTTATAAGGTGTTTTATTTATCAAGGAATTAAGGAAAGTGTGAATCTTATTTATTTAACTTTCTTTATTTGAAATATAAAATATTTCCAAAATAATATGTTTCTTTATTGTGTTATTGAACTCCAAATATTCAAACTTCTTTTACTGTGTAATTCATTGGTACATATTTTTGAAAAATTTAGTTTGGCTGAGTCAGTTTTACATTGTTAAATTTAATACTAATATTAGAGGGAATATACATTTTTATTCCTGCCAAATAGCAAAGGAAGACTTATTTCACCTAAAGAAATTCATTATTACATCCAACAGATTTGTGCTGGGGACAGTTAAAGACAGAAATTTTGTTTCCATTAAGAATCAAAAAATATTCTAAACTCTAAATTTCTGCCAAGTCAAGCCCCAGAATCGTAATTGTAGTTTGCTATTAAATGGTGGGAAAATTGCATTTAACACAATTTTTTATAGTTTGTCCTAGTAATTCTGAAAGGGTAACACAATGAACTTAATTTAGTGATTAATTCATTTATACAGATATTCTATTTGAGAATTAATTGAATTGAAAGACTCAAAATTATTGTTACCTTAACATTGGCCTGTTGCATATTGTTCATTTGCAATGCCGCATGAGTAAAGTGCAAAAATCAATTTAAACTGTTTCGTTTGTTATTATAAAACCAATTCAAAACTTATGAAATCAAACTATTATTATTATTATTATTATTATTATTATTATTATTATTATTATTATTATTATTATTATTAATGTTATTATTGTTATTATTATTATTATTATTTATTATTATTATTATTATTATTATTATTATTATTTCTTTTTTGCAAAGAACATTTGTTTCATCAGCAAACAGAACTGATCATCGGTTTTTAATGAACAAGGGCATATCCTGTACGTATAAAAGAGAGAGGATTGTGCCAAAGATTGAACCTTGTGGAACCCTTGTGTGTGATGAGTAAATTATGTTCCTTTGCGTCAATAGAGTATTTCTACTCTTTGCAAATGATATTTATGGTACAAGTATGGGTTTAAATGAATTGAACACTACATTATTCTCTCTCTCTCTCTCTCTCTCTCTCTCTCTCTCTCTCTCTCTCTCTCTCTCTCTCTCTCTCTC